TATACATATATTTAGGGTTTTAGGTAACCCTAAACCCTAAAACCCAAAACCCTACGTATATATATATATATAGATATATATATGTGTGTGTGTGGGTGTATATATGTATGTATGTATGTATGTATGTGCTGGCATTGTTGACCACCAACGGACATGAAAACCCGTACTAATCGGCATATAAATCTGGGTCTTTGCTCACATCTATGCGCACAGGAAGTGAACTTACTTATGTACAAATTATCCAACTCCATCCATGCAATATACGTGTGTAAAATATATTTTTATAAACATATACATGTGTGTAGAATTCATTTTAATAAACATATACATATGTACAGATCCGTGTGAACCATCCCGATCACGACAAGTACTTCAGAGATGAGACCCAAGGAGGGTGGCCCTTCAGCACACGAGATATTGGATGGGTGGTAGCCGACTGTACAGGCGAAGGATTGAAAGGTACGCTGCGTGTGTGTAGTATCTTGCACTGATAATTTGAGTTAAATTTGTATACGCGTATGTACGCAAGGCTTGGGTATGGTACACATACAGTTTTATTGGAGTTGAATTTGTGCATGCGTATGTATGCAATGCATCGAGATTTCGACGATGCAATTAATATATACACACCTGATGTCCATGAAAGGCTACATACAAAATCATATGATGTTCAAGGTCAACCAAAAGCTGTACACAGAATCAAACGTTGTGTACGGTCCCACAAAACGGAATGTGTATTGCGTTTGGATTGTGGTATATACGAATGCAGCCCTTGCGCAGGAGCATACCGACACCAATGCGTCCCTACAAACAAACATGTGGCGCGTGCTACGCCCATTCGTTACATACTATGAACCTTAAACGGCCCTATTCTTTTCCAAACGAGACAGGTGCACTTATCTGCAAGGGCCACAACTACACCGACACCCCGTTCACTCTTGCTACGCCCCTTCGTTATATACTATGAACCTTAACCAGCCCTATTCCTTTCTAAACGGGACAGGTGCACTTATCTGCAAGGGCCACAACTACACCGACACCCCGCTCAGCGACGACAGGCTGTTTGACGCGGTCAACATACTTATACTCATGCAGAATGCTACAGGCGGATATGCCACGTGCGAGAAGACTCGTGGATCACGCCTATTCGAGTGGTTTAATGCCAGCGAGGTATTTGGGTGTAGTTTGATATGCAGGTATATGAGGACTCAGAAGTCTTGAAGAGTGTAGATATTTGTACACACTTTCATACACACCCACACACGATTACACACTCTCACATACACCCACAAACACTTACACACTCTCACATACACGCATACACACTCTCACATATACCCACACACACTTACGCACTCTCACATACACCCAAACACGCTTACACACTCTCACATACATCCACACACGCATATACACTCTCACACACACTCACACACTCTCCCATACACCCACATACGCTTACACACTCACATACACCCACATTCGCTTATATACTCTCACATACACCCACACACGCATATCCACTCTCACATACACCCACACACACTTACACACTCTCACATACACTCACACACGCTTACGCACTATCACATACACCTACACACACTCTCACACTCTCACATACACCCACATACGCTTACATACTGTCACATACACCCACACACGATTACACACTCACATACACCCACATACGCTTATATACTCTCACATACACCCACACACTCGTCACACGGACTCTCGACATACACCTACACACGGCTACACACTCTCACACACACATTC